TATATATATATATATATATATATATATATATATATATATATATATATGAAATAACAGTACTGTTCATCTGACTGTATAAAGTCCGTGAAATTATTAACTGCGTATTCAGATTTTTGAAAACAAATGCATACAAAAGCATTGGACGGTCGGCACTGTGGAAGGCAATGCCAGCTTATACTGATCATGGCTTAGAAAACAAGAAACTTGAAAATGTTATTGAACCGTGGCTTCTTAACGATGGAATGCCGGAAGTGATGGTGAGGTGAGTAGACAGAACTGAAGACAATCGGGTGTTAATTAGTGTGGAATCTCCTCAGGACAACTGGAAAATTTACAAAACAATCTTTTTTAATTCCTTGTGAACTGTCCTTACTGTCCCTGTTAAATACAATGAAAGTACAAGAGTTCAATAATGGTTCAGAAGCACGTACAGTATAATTATAGGAACAATCGAGCTTCATTTTCATTTCTTAGTATATCTTACACGTAATTCCGAGTATGCTACACGTTGTCAAGCGTACTATATGCTACGCAGTCAAAGTGATTTATTATTTTAAATGTACTCACAAGAATTACTCAAATTTTCTTTCCTTTTTTTGCCACAAGCTCAACATTTTTTTGAAAATATTTCGAAGAAGCTTTTGAAGTAAACCTTGATTTAAGCCGAAATTACGACTATGGCAGTATACGTCTTATTCCGCGACCATCTGATCAAAATCGTTACGTCATTTACTTACAAGGTACAAGGCATCATGCTGTAAAAAATTCCAAAGAATCCATTAAAAATGTAAAATGGAAGGAATGGATGGGTAAATTTTCCACTGGCTCAACAATGAACCATTACAAAACAGGTGATTTTTAGCATATTTTATTCACTGGCTTTCGCGACTTTGCGTAATAAAGTAACACTATATTAAAATGAGAGAGGAGACTCAATTTTAAGCCAGTTATCGCTGCAAAAATTCTTGTAGGTAGGCTGGAAGAAACTGAAGTTACAAACACCAAGGAAGCATCACCATCGCTTTACGTTGAATTTATAAGCAAACGACGAAGTATCAAAAAAATGCGGACCAGTTTGAAGAACCAAGAACCTGAACACAAGAAAATAGTTAGTTTTTCAAGGTCTGTAGTTTTCCTGAAGTCGGACGGTTTTCGTAACTACTGCAAGCAAAAGTTTTTTTTGGCAGAAAAAATTTTTAAAAAATCAGGTCGATGGTGATCGCCTTGTTGATGGAAGAAAAAAAAAGCGCCCTCATCGGAAGATAAACGGAAATCGGCAGTCGGCTCAAGAAAAACAATTCTGGTCAATACCATTCACTTATCAGCTGAGCTCCAAAGCGAACTTTTTTGGTAGGGAAAATGTGTACAAATATTTAAAACACATTTCAAGCGTATCTTGTGAATATAGCAATAAGATTTTTTGTTATTAAATTTTTAGCTGATACAAAAAGAGAATTCTGGTTACACAACAAAACTGTGGTGTTCACGGATAAGAAAGACCAAACTTCAGCAGCACTTCTAGCAAATGTTAACTGGAAATATCCATATCGCGTCAACTATGATATTGAAAATTGGAAAATGTTAGCAAGAATGGTAGGAGCCAATTGCCCAAAATTTTGTTAAAATCTAAAAAATGAGTTTCTCTAGGTGACAAAATGAAACAGGAATGTTTTAGCTGCATGAAAACCATTTGTCCATACCATTATATTCTCGCATACAATTGATACTCGATTCCGAATTCTACCTTAAACAGTCGAGTGTTCCCGAACTCTATTTATACATTTTAAGGTAAGCGCTACGTCACATATTCGTATCGGTTTTCACTCTGAATGTTTTAGAAATTCTCCGTGTTCGGAAAGATTATTACAGAAAACGTTTCAGCTATCTCACAAAGGAAAATGACGTTGGTCTTTTATTATTTGGTCTGGATGCATTATACCGCTTCTTCGACATGTTTCGCGGGAGTTCAATCAACAGCTTACTTTTATTATTCTTAAGAGAGGTTCGGACAGGACCAATAATATAATAAAATTTTAGCTTCTGTTATGTTATACTTCACCAAGATTAATAACACTCAAAATTAGCGTGTCAAATGACAACTCCATCGAGATTAATAACAAAATTAGTGTATCAAGGATAATGTCACATACGGTAAAATTGGCTAGTATCTAAAGATCAGATCAAGTCCTTATTCATTTTTCAATCAGGAGAAAATATTTAGATGACTGAATGGATTGATAAAGTAATGGATGATACAAAGACAAAACCTGAGCTAGCTGCATTATGGTTACTTGATGCAAACCGACTCATTCAATTTTATAAACTTCGGTGTGCGGTGAATTTGTCAACTTGCGATCCAGAAAACAAGGTTCGCTTTCAGCAGCAATAAACATTTTCATTTTAAATTCTTTCCTCTGAGATTTGATTTCAGGAAAGTTAATGGTATTTCATTAATTTGCTAATTTTTACAATATACATAATTCCAAGATTTGTCTAGCAAAGATTGAGTTTTTTTTTAATCTAGGCAGAACAGTGGTTAAAATCAGGTGGTTTAGCAGAAGGTGACCACTACTCGCAATTGATTGCTATTTGCCATTATTTATTCACGAGAGGTACCAAAGAGGGGTATGATTTGGTTGAAAATAGCGTGAAGCAGTTTAGCGGTAAATGGACGATTGCAATACAACTGGCGACATGTGTGCGCAGTGAGCACATTCTCAAGAAAGTTGCAAGTCAAATCATTGCAACGCGAAATGCTGCGGTGTATACTGCCATGCTGCAGGTTACTTAATAAAACTACACTTTTTGAGGTGACATGAAGTTCCATGAACAAATTGTAATTTGGAGTGACAATATCTCAAAACTCCCAGTTATGAACTCAGTCATGATGCTACGGACGTGCGTGTCTTTCTAACATTTCATACACTAGTCCTTGAATATCATGGACAATCAACGTGAGCTTTTTCCTAACGTCTTCAAGAAAGAGGAACATTTTAAGCATCTAATTTCCAAGTATTGATGACTACATATTTTACAAATACTGATGGAAGATTCAAAGGAAAAATGAGGAGGTAATACAAGTACACTGGATTTTGATATACATATGTATATATATATATATATATATATCAAATAGTCAGAATTCTTCCCACTGTTTCTTGATGCACAAATCTGAGAGAAAAAAACCACGGCTGTCCTTTTCCCGCTTTAAATTTATTTCTCTTCCAAAAAGATCATTTTCGTTGCAGGTGACATATAACTAAGCATTTCAATCTGAGGAGATAGTAGGACTTTTTCCAAATTCCCGTTTTCGCTCTTAATGGAAAAACAGGAACATTTTCACAGCAAGCAATCGATCCATTTAAACGTTTTTTTAGGAGTAACGACTAAGCAATGATTGCTAAACACAACTGCATACCGTATAGATTATGGAAGAAACTCCTAAGTATGATACAAAGATGAGGACCAACTTCCTATTTTCATTATTTGAATTTAAAAAGAATGTTAGACAGACACGTTGAGAGATATCAACTTGCACGTCATCACGAACATTTATATATGTATATATATATATATCGATTTGGTTTTTTTTTTTTTTAAATTTGATAATTATTTTATAGTTCATTTCAATACTTTCATATTCATTTTTTTTTTCTGTTGATTGAATGAAGCAAAATTTTTGAAAAATTTCATCTTTTGCAAATATTTATTTATCCATTTTGAATTTATTAATGGGACGGATCAAATCCCACATATGAATGTGTTAGCATCATTGCGCTCTTTGAAATATTTTCTAACATTTTTCCCAAATTGTTTTTTTGTTTTTTTTAACAAATGAAAATAAAATACGAAATGAAATTTCAGCTTTCGCTTTTTTTTGGTGCTAAAAAAAAATGAATGTATGAAATGGCTAGAAATATATATTGTCTATATGATGGAATAATTTTATCACTGATTTTAATTTGATATAATTTGAATTAAAAAAAAAATCTGATTCGACTCAAAAAAAACGATTTAATTGATTAAAAAAATTTGATTCGATTTGATTTAATCTGAAAATTTGATTTAATTGATTTAAAAATTTTATTTCAATCTAAAAAAAATTTGATTCGATCTGAAAAAAAATGATTTAATTAGTTCAAAAAATTTAATTCAATTTCATTTTACTTGATCTAAAAAAAAAAAAAGTTGATTTAATTGTTTTAAAAAAATTTTTGTTCGATTTAAAAGAATTGATTTAAAAAATATTGATTCAATTTGATTTAAATTGATTAAATTAATCGAATTAATTGATTCATATTATTATTATATTATTCAAAATATATTATTTCATTTATTCTCTCATTTCTTTTCCTTTTTTTTTTTTCTTTTTAACAAATGTTTATCATTCAATAATGGATTTATAAAAGGGAAAAGATTAGCCATACTTGAAAGTTGTAACAAAATTCCGTGAGAGAAAGATAAGAAGGGAAAATTATCGGTCTTGCAAGGTCAAATGCGGCAAAAAAAAAAAGACATTTTAGATTTATTCTAAATCATTTCTTTATTTGCATTAAATGGAATTAGCTTTTTAGCAAGGAAAATATTGGTTATCCGATATGATAATTGATCAAA